CCCAAGGATATTTAAATGCAAAGGGCGGAGACAACATTGCAAGGAGAATAAAGTATCTTTTGTGTACTACTACCCTTCCTGCAAATGTTCTGCTGCCCTTGTTTGTTTGTTTGTTTGTTTTAAACTTTTGTTTAAAGGCTTTCTAAATGGCTGGTGGAGTGGCTGAAGAGATCGAGTGCCTGCCTAGCAAGCATGAGGCCCTGAGTTCTAATCCCAGTACTGCCAAACAAATAAAAAGCTTTCTAAAATGCTTCCTGCCTTATGAATGGCAGATACATGAGCATGAACCAGTGTAGGTCAGACATTTCCCAGTTCCTTAAATCCGTGGTGCAAATTACTTACTCAGAAATAGGCAAAAAAGGAAACTATTCTCTTTTGAATTCATTTAACTTTAAAAAATAAATTCATGTTAGAATTGGTATATTAATTTCCCTTTACTTGTGATTTAGTAATGTTTTAATTGCATGAGTCAACTTAATACTCTTATTTAAATTTGGATTTGAGCTGGGCGTAGTAGCTCACGCCCAGGAATCTTAGCTGTTGAGAGGATCATGATTCTAGGCCAGCCTAAGCAAAAAGTTAATGAGACCCCCATCTCAACCAATAGCTGCTTGTGGTGGCCTGCACCTGTCATTCCAACTACATGGGAGGCAGACCAGCTCAGAAATAAACAGGAGACTGTATTTGAAAAGTAACGAAAGCAAAAAGGGCTGGGGGCATGATTCAAGTGATGGAGCACTTGCCTGGGAAGCATGAGGCCCTGAGTTCAAACCCCATTCCTGCCCACCTCCCCAAAAAAATTCTATTTGATTTTGAAGACATTACTTTGAAAACTACAAATGTATACTAAGTAATAATAATCAGTACTAATAGAAAACTGATTGGCCTTCTTAGTATAAGGCAAAGTGAAAAGAGTTTGTTAGAAACAGCTTCTGGAGCCAGGTAGGTGGTATACACCTGTCATCCCACTACTTGGGAATCGGAGGCAGGGGAATCACAAATTAAAGGCAATCCTAGGCAAAGGTAGAGAGGCCCCTGTCTCTAAGAGGGAAAGGGGTTACTAGGGGTATAGCTTAAGTTGTAGAAAAGAACTTGCTTAACATGCATGAAGCCCTGGGTTCAATCTCCAGTACCACAGAAAAAGGAAGGAAGGAAGAAGAGAGGAGAGGGCATGATGGCTTATGTCTGTAATTCCAGCACTTGGGAGGTAGAGATAGGGACAATTGGGCTTCAAGGCCAGCCTGGGCAAAAAGTTAGGAATATCCTATCTGAAAAATAATTAAAGCAAAAAGAGCTGGGGGTGGGTGGTTAAAGTGGTGGAACTCCAGCCTAGCAAGTGTGAGGCTGAGAGTTCAATTCCCAGAACCACCAGAAGAAAAACATAGCTTCTCTGAAGTGAGGGTGAAATGTTATGCTTACACTTGGAGGGTTTTTTACCTTTTGTTTTTACATTATAGTTGCAAAGCTGAAAACCAGTGAAGGGTCTGTCTGTACCAAGGACTGCTGTGGAGTGGACGCATACTTTAAAAGACTTTACAAATCCACCTTCTCACGGTTATTGGGGATGTGTTTGTGGACACAGTATTTGAATCGTGGTGTGGTGCAAACTAGAACTCAGTCCTAAAAGCCCCCTTTCCCCAAGGATTACGTTTCAGTGGGGGCAGGGAGCAGCCAGGCGAGGCTGTTTGTGGCCACCAAATCTGAGCTCCAGGAGGGCTGAGTTTGTTGTACTCCTTGGGTGGGAAGCATGACATTTATGGGTGTCAGTGCTTTCTCCCCTTGATCTCTCACACCGTGACTTTCACCTTCCACACTGTGATCATGTTTCATGGGGGCTGCACATTAGTTAAAGTCCCTTAGTTACTGTGTAATCCCAGGAACCAAGGATCATCCAAACAGAACAAAAAAACAGGCCAAATAATACTAGGAGAGCAAGGTGGAAAATGATTGGTCATTTATGTGAAAGCCTTGGCAGAGGGAAAGGTTTGCAGCTTCCAAACATGATAGAATGAATCAGTTTGAACTTTTTTTTTTTTTGAGTCAGGCTTTGTCATTCTCCTGTTAGAAGCTGCCAGTGGCTTTCCATCTTACCCTTAAGAGCCAGAGTGTTCATTATGACATCATGACATCTAAGGTCCCGTGTTGGTGAGCGCCATTAACAATCTACCCCGTTTTACCACACCCTCCCTCCTCAGCTCCACTCACGCTGGTCTTCATGCTGCTTCCTAAATACGCAAACACCCTGCCTCCCTCAAGACCCTTGTGCCCACTCCTTGCTCTGTCTGGGGTATTCTTCCTCCAGCTTGTCACCTCACTTCCTCGGCTGTTTATTCATCTGTCACTTCAGTGACGCCTCCTCTAGTCTCCTTTTCAACCCTCAGCACACTCACCCACACAGGCATCAATGTGCCCCATTCCTGCTTTAGTTTTCTCTGCAGCATGTGTTGCCATCTGACATACTACATGCCTCACCTGCCTTGTTTCTCCTTTCCCCAATCAAGGCCTGATTTCTTGAGGGCAGAAGTATTTGTCTTTCTTGTTGATTGCTTGCATTCCCAACTACTATAGGAGTGCCTGACAAGTAACAGACCCCCAGTAATGCTCATTCAGTGAATGAATCTAATATTTTGAGTGGTTTTTCTCTTAATGTCTGTAGTTCATTAGGACGTTGGGAACAATTCAGGTGCTCAGCAAAGTTATGATATAGGCAGACTTTATCTTTCATAACCTTTCTCCTCTATTTATTTTTTTAAATATTTTGTGGGGCTGAAAATAGAACCCAGGGCCTCACACATGCCAGGCAAGTGTTCCACCACTGAGCTACATTCCTAGCCCTCTCTTGTCTTCGTGAATTAAAAATGTTAAGTACATTCAAAACAATGTCAAATGAGCCGGGTGCCTGTGGCTAACACCTGCAATACTGTCTATTCAGGAGGCAGAGATGAGGAGGGTCATGATTCGGAGCCAGTCCCAGGCAAATAGTTCATGAGACCCTATCTCGAAAAAAACTCTTCACAAAAAAGTGCTGGTGGAGTGGCTCAAGCAGTAAGAGCACCTGCCTAGCAACCATGAAACCATGAGGCGCTGGGTTCAAACCCCAGTGTCACAAAAAAAAAAGAAGTTAAACATACAGGCAAAATATAAATTACAACAAAAACAAGTAATGGCAGCCATCTTCCCATCACTCAAGTTAAACACAAGACATTATCAGCCTCCTTGGTGCTTTCCCTTACCTCATCCTCCCTACCTCCTCCCCCCAAGACCCTTCTGAATTTGTGTTTGCTGTTCCTGTTGGGTTTCTATATAGCTTTTTTCACATGAACATGTGTCTCAGTTACAGGTTTTTGAACTTTACATAAATGGAATCCCACTTAATATTCTCTGCTGCTTGCCTGCAGTTCCTGAGTCTCATCTGTGTTGGTGCATATTCATTGCTTCTTACTCATATAGGGTATTCTTATTGCATGAGGAGACCACAACTTATCCATTCACCTATTAGTACAGATTTGGGGTGATGTGGGGTTTTTTGGATGCTAAACATATTTGTACATGTTTCGTGGTATGCTCATGCATATTTTTCTAGGGCAGATATATAGGAGTTAAATTACTGGTTCATAATACATGTATCTTTCATTTTACTTGTTAATGCCCCTTGTTTTCAAAAGTAACATACCAATTAGCAGTATCTATGAGTATTCGTAGATACTTCCCTAATGTGGAAGATATAAAATGTTAGCCTATGTTTTCATTTGCATTTTCCTGTTTCCTAATGAAGCTAGATGTGAAATGTTATCCTTGTTATTTGCTGGTTTTTTGATGGGACAGTTTTTGGTTTGCGGGAGTTCTTCCCATACTTGGTACATGTCCTTTGTCTACCTGTAGAGTAGATACCATTTCCCAATTTGTAGTTTGTCTTTTCACCATCTTTTGATGAAGAGAAATTCTAACTTTAATATAATTTATCAGTCTTCTCCTTCATGTGGGTTTTTAAAAAAAAATCTTTGCCTAAGAAATTCTTTCATATGTCAAAGCAGATTACCCTTGAGCTTCTCCATTGACCAATCCTGACAGCTTACTCTCCAGAAGAGAAATTCAGTGACAATGGCAGAGGCAGCTGAGAGCAGCTCAGACTAGAAGATTTTTTTGAAACAGAGAGAGGGAAAGAACAGATGATAACCACATGTAGAATTTCATATACTAGTTTTGCACCTCATATTTCAAATGTTCTACATCATTAAAATTGTTAAGGTTCAGTTTTAATAACTTGCATTGAATGGGTAAATGAGAATAAACTTTGTACCTTTTTGTTGAACATTTTGTGCAGTTGTAAATAAGACCTCAGGAAACAACTCATGCATGTTTATGATGGCTTGTTTATCTTCTCAAGAAAGAGTTATAGAGGTGGTGTTAAAACATACTCTTGATATCATTAGAAGAAATAAGCAATTGAAAATATCAGAGCTATATGAACTTTAAATAACTGACTTCTGATCAACATTTTCTGCTGTTTGATCCTTTACAAGGAAATGCAGTATTAAAAAGTATTCAGCCTACACAGCTGTATACAGAGTCTCTCTGTAATGTCCACCCCTGATATTGACAGACATTCTAAGGTGATTAAATGTTTCCCTTTCCAGTGTCTCACATAATTTTGACTATACTTCGTTTGAAGAGAAATTCAATGATATTTTCAAGTAATGCTCTCAGTAATATTTGAAAATTATTAGAAGGGCTAGGAATTAGCTGAGTGGTAGAGCCTTGAAGGTCCTATATTCCATCCCCAGCACTGGGGAAGGGGGATCAACATATATACTCCATGTGTATCATCTTAAATGAACCTCTTCCCTTGGGGTAATTCAAAAGTCATCAGAGGTTCCATGACCCCACAGGGCAGTGCGAGGGGTCTGTGTGAGGAGAGAAAAGCAGGGATGTAAAAAATCACTGTCCAGTTCACTGTCAGTGCTGTTAATGCCGGGTCTCTTGCCCTGCTCTGCCCACAGGTTAAAGTGTTGCACAATCAGCTGGTCCTTTTCCACAATGCCATCGCTGCCTACTTTGCTGGGAATCAGAAGCAGCTTGAACAGACACTTAAACAGTTTCATATCAAATTGAAAACCCCTGGAGTGGACGCCCCATCTTGGCTGGAAGAACAGTAAAACCTCACCTGGCAGGAAAAGAAAGTCTCCTTGTGCTGTAAACAAAACTAATGAGTTGAGTGCAGTGGGGAAAGTGGCAGGGTGACAACCATTGCAGTGATTCTCGCACAGACAGCTTTAATTTTTCCCTTTTCATACCTTAACAATTGAACTGTTAAATTTGATAGGAAAGTGAGTGGTTTTATTGTAAACATAATTTCTATAATCTGAACACAGTAATTTCCCTTTTTGAGAAATCCTTTTGTATTGTGAGGGTTGATGGCTATTTCTGTAGTTTGAAAACACCTAATATAGATTTGCACTGACAAGATAAAAATTCAATGTTTTTGGTCCTGGAAGTGAGGGCCAGTTGAAACTTTCCAAAGGAGGTTTATGTGATTTGTATCAGCATCAGACATTTTATATATGAATATATTAAACATCTTTAAGAGATTCATTTTCATGTATTGTCTTTAAAAAGAAACTATTTTAGAGTAAATTATATGATGTTCCTGCAGCATCCACACAGAGTTGGCAGCTTTAATGAATGATGGATTGGCTCATGGAGTTGTGGCAAATACCTTTTGAAAATTTAATCCATACCTTTGTAATTTTGTTTAGACTTTTTTTTTTTTAAAGGCAAAGGACTCACACTGTCATTCCTGTGAGGAGTTTTAAGCTAATGGATTTGTATCACCCAAAGTCATTGGGTAGTTATATCAACAACTTATTTTGATTTATAATGAAATCTGCTAAAGATAATTTTTTTTTTAACATGTAGACTTGGGAATGGAAGTTCTTGATGGTTTCTAGGGTAGAAATCTATACTTAGAAAGCTAGTTTTAGGGAAGATTCCATTTTGACAGAAGTGAATTCCTAGACAGCTTTCATTGACTTCCCTACGTAAGATGCCGATTAAGCCTTAAGTCACAGATATGTGCCTTCTCATTCAACCAGTGTACATAATCCATGACGATCCCTCTTTGAGATATTGTTACATGTATCTGTTCCTTGGAAAGGAGCACCATGTATAAATGTTAGGGTCTTTGTTTCTCATTAAACCACTTAGAGGTTTATGTTGAAATCAACTTTTGACTTTGCTGTTTGGTTTCTCCTGGTCCTTTTGAGGAACGGGAATGTGGGAGGTGTTTTTCATTTGGATAATAAGGTCACGTGGGACTGTGGTGGTCACGGGATGGGAAGGGTGAGTGGACAGGCCAGCACTGTTTAAATGGTGTAGCACTGCTAGTGTGTGTCACTTGGTTGGCCTGTCCACTGCGTGCGTCTTCATCTTAAAAGTTCCTTTGATTTTTGTCATAATCATAAATTAGTATTTTGAGAGATCGCCCACCCTTCACCTGTTAGTTTCTGTTATGTTAAAATGAAGTCCTTAAGATTACCATTGTACATGAACTTTCGTGGGCTGTAAGATTTGTTTCATGTCCAGATGCCTGGTAGCTGGCTTTTTAATTAATATGCCCATTTGAGTGCTTAATGCAGTGTAATGTGATTGTAATCATAAGCCTATTTTAAATCATTCCCTCCTATATATTTGTACTCTGAGAGCCTTATTTTATTCTTTCAGAATAACTACTTGTGATAGTTCATTTACATTCCCCAGAATGTGCCTCTGGTGTGACTTTTGTATTCTTATTAAAAGTGCTTGCTGCAATGTCCTCATTCTCTGGCCCTCATAGTTTTAAATAAGAAGTAACTTTGGGAATTCTGAGGACATAGGATTTTCCCCTGAACTTTAAAAGGAACAACAACAAAATATGGTGCTTCTGTTACTTATAATTTTCATGCTCCGTAAGTTGTTCTTTTTCCCTCAATCTGAATCTCTTGGGAACTGAACCTGTCCAGTCTTCCCACATTTCAATAATGGTTATAGTAGCCAAAGATCTGAATAGTGTCATGGATTAAAGATTTGTCAGAATAAACTAAAAATGTGTTTCTGTGTAGTGGGTACATATGCAAAAGAAATACTAACCAGGGACAAGTTTGCTTTCTTAGGAAAGAAATTCACAGCCATTGTAGAAACAAGAGCCTTCTGTAAAATGGATGCTGATAACCTTCCCAAGTGAGTGAACACTGCATCAAACCAGCTGACTGCCCTGAGTTAGGTATTTTATAGTATAAGCTCAGGGTTTCAATATCCTTTAATAGGCATGTGTCTGTCTTTGTACCCATACCTGGTTATACCACTAGGTTATCCCTAGAAGGGAAGATTGCCCCTCAAAATATCTACACACAGTCAAGATGGCATTGTATATTGCTTGTTTGCTTTCCCCAGTGAGCCCACTTACCAGTAAGAACAGACACATGAGCTTAGTTGGGATATTTTTAAAGCTACTATGCAGAAAAAGGAAATGATGCATAGAACCAGCAGGACATCACTTTACAAATGTTTTAGGTGGAAAGGGAAAATCCGTCAGGAAGATGGATAAAGACTCAACCATGAGGAGTTGGGAGGTTTTCAGATATGGGGCTCAGGGGCAGGAGATGGATAGAGATAGCTGATTTTTCACTCATTAAAATAGAATTAATCCTAGCTACTCAGGAGGCAGAGATCAGGAGGATCAAGGTTCGAAGCCAGCCCTGGCAAATAGTTCACAAGACCCTATCTTTAAAATACCCAACACAAAAAAAGGGCTGGCAGAGTGGCTCAAGTAGTAAGAGCACAACAGGCCTAACAAGTGTGAGGCCCTGAGTTCAAACCCCAGTACAGTAATTTATACATATAAAAACTCAAGGAAAAACATACACTGAAGAAACTTGTCTGTGCAGTTGAGCTCTTCATGTCAATGCATTTAAGTCTTAGAGTCCAGGAATTACCTGGGCTTGCAGAAGCAGGTTAGCTGAAATCTAAACCTTAAGCTTTTCCATATTCAAATCACGCTGATGATGGTATCCTGTAGAATATGAGACTGGAAGATTCCTTAAAGATTATCTAGCACTTTCTTACATGTGAAGAAACCAAGGCCTCAAAATATATTCAACTAACTTGGCCAGTCCAGCACCTTCAAATGCAATGCCAGACAAGTGTTTGCAGCTAAATACGTGATTCCCCTGCAATTCTGCCATTTCAACAACAGAATAAAGCAATATGTTGTGTCAAGTTCCTTCAGTACAGATATGTTAGCTGTCTTCTCACTTGAAAAAATAACCCATTGACTTCCAAATGGGTTGATACTAGATACAGTGTAAACTATGTAAGATATATCCATCCTATCTTTCATGATGTAAGTCTGCAAAGTGTTATACAAAGTAAAATTATGTATATTGAAAAAACCAAAGATTAGTTTTCTTTTCATCGTGTGACTGTTAATTTGAAAAATAATGTATCTCCAAAGGTGCCGTCTCCTTTAGTTTTCAGTGGAGTTGACGGTAAGTGTGGAAAATGAAAGCAGACTGTCTAAATTGCTAATCCACTGCAACACTTGAATGTAATTTTTGTTAATATTGGTGAAATACTGTTTAGAATGCCTGTATTGTATAATAATCCTGAATATCTTCTGCCAGTAGCTAACTTCTTGGCCCAGTCAGTTGAAACCACCTACGATCCTTCTTCGCTCAGTTCTAACCAAATTTAGATATTAAAAAATTCTGATTCCTCTTTAAGATTACAAACTTTCACATCAGCTCAGGCCATCCAGTCATGAATGGGCTGTTTTCTGATTAAGAGACCAGTTAAATTTTGCATTAGTTCAAAGCTTTTCCAAGGTCATGAGTCCTTTACTATTTTTACAATATGGCGAGACCTATTAAAGTAGAACAATGTGAACAACTTTCCTCTGCTGAGGACTTTCATTAAATTCTGTTCTGTGTTCCCACTTAAGGGTTTCCTGCTTAACAGGTTTCCTGGCATAAGTGGTTCTTTATAATAAATTGCCAAAGGGTCTTCCTACATGAACAGGAAGCTGAAGTTCATCTTTACTTGTGTGAAATAAAGGTTGGCTCTTAGAGTTTATGTATATTAAGTGAGAACTATTTGTTATTCTGATATGGAGGAAAGAGATTATCAAAATGGGGAAGGGGAGCTGGACCCAGTCTACCTTCTGTGTAGTTAATTCACTAACATGCAATCAGAGTTGCGAATTTGAATGACAGTTTTACAAATGAAACTATTCCACAAAAACCAAAAGCATTGTCTCTTTGTTTGGACCCACACAAGGCTTTGCCAACAGCAAACGGGAAGGAGCCTTCTGCGACTGTAGTTCAACTATGAATTGTTGATTCATAAGGAAGATGTAAGGGCAATCAAATACCATTTTATCATTCCTAAAAGTGACTTTCTGTGCCTGAGGCTTTCATACTGCTTTGCTTTGGGTACATACATGTTTATATGAGTAGTTTAGGGGTGAGATGTATACCTAGCCAACGTTGGCCGCAAAGGAAGAAAGTGGAATCAAGTAAGTCTTCACACTTATCTTGGGGCTTTGCTTATTGTAATTCCACTAGAAGAACAGCAGACTCTCACTATAAAAAGGCTCTTAAGTGCAGCTTATGGACTAGGGGACAGAAAGTAGCTTTAATCCTACTGACGATTCCAAAAAAAGGATTTAAAACAACGCTGGTTTTAGAATAAAGAATGAAATAGTCCAGAGAAATTATTTATATGTGCTACACTTATTCTTGCTCTATTTTTGATTCTCATTAGGAAGCATCTCGTAAATAAGTGCACAGAGTTTGGGGCCCATAATTACAATTCTTTCTTTGAGGAGTATATACTTACTATGGCTAGACGCTAGGCTGAGAACGGCAGGGTGTGTGCCATGTATCTTTAGACCACAGTCCAGAAACATTGCTATGTAAAACCTTTGTAGAACAACTGAGCAGGTCCTGTGCTCGGTGCTGCAAAGAGTTTGCATTAATTTTTTTAGCCATGATTATTATCATCATGGTAGTGTAGGAAGTAATATTGTTAGTAGTTGTGTACCTGAAGCATTTGAAGGTGAAAGGTCATGGAGCCTGCGATTTACTTTTAAAAGGCTTAGCAAAAGTACTCATGCATACTCACATACGGTGAGAAAGCTGGAAGAGAGAGGAAAGAAGTCTTAAATGTGGCAAAATAAGACAGGCAGATATGTGGAATTTCATAGTACTAGGCTTTTAACTTTTTTTAGCATTTTCATAAGAATTTATTTATTTTGGGTGGGATGAGTTTAAACTCAGGGCTTTGCACTTGCAAAGCAGGCTCTCTGCCACTTGAGCAACACCTCCAGTTCATTTTGCTCTGGTTGTTTTGGAGATGAGGTCTCTCAAACTGTTTTCCCGGACTGGCCTCAAGCCTCGGTCTTCTCCGATCTCAGCCTCCCTCGTAGCTCAGATTACAGGCATGAGTCACTGGCATGGCAAGAATTTAATTTTGTAAGAGGTTCTTTTATCCAGAAAATTGATAGGATGCTGCTGAATCTTCCATCTTCCACAAGGTGGGTGGCTGAACTGTTTGGGTTATAGTTAGTAACACCTTGCTTCACTCCTGCAGATTTCAACCAATGTGTTTTTTTTTTTTTTCTCTGTTTTTTTTTAAGTTTTTGTTGGTGGTACTGGGCTTCAAACTCAGGGCTTCATGCTTGCTAGGCAAGCGCTTTACCACTTGAGCCACTCTGCCAGTCCTCCCTGCAGATTTCAGAATCCCTCCTCTAGCATGAGAAGTAAATTAGGTTTGTGTTTGAAACAGAAACTCAAGTGAGTGCAAACTTGGACAGTTTTCTAGGCAGGTGCTGTATTGCTTGGGCTACTCCACCAGCCCATGGTACAGTTTTCTGTTTGTCAGTAAAGATTACAGAGACACAGCAAATAAGAAGCAGAAATTCTTGACACTATGAGGCTAAAGGAAAATTTCCACGTTGGAAAACGTGTATTCACTACACTAAACTATTCACTATTCACTAAACTAGCTATTTCTAAATAACTATCTGAGAGGACAAGAGAAGTTAAGATCAAAAGAAAACAGTAACTTTATTTCAGCTTAAGTAGGATGATTTCTTCTATTTTTTTTTTTTGCCTTTTTCTTACAAATAAGCATATGCTACCATTGTGTATGACTATGGATTTCTTAAGGATTTAGCTATTTATAACTTCATTTACTACAGCAGTTTAAGGCTGCTTAAAATAAATAATTTTTCATGTAAAAAAACCATTTTATGAGCCAGCCAAGTTTTCCCTAATTCAGACATCATAAATCAACAGCTTAACTCAAATGGAAAATAGATGTTTACAATAATCTCGTTCACTTCCCCCACTATCTCAGAAGAACAAGGAACATACTATGGATTCAAATATCCTAGTTGGTTTGTATCCATATAGGAGCTACAAAAACCAGATAATGTTTTGAGAATGCATTTTAACCATGGCAATGGTTGCTATAGTCACTTGTTATTGGGAGGTTTTTTTAAGTGCGTACGTTTAAACAGTCATGAGTATTTGCTCAATGACTGGGCAGCTAATTCATGTTGACTTCCCTCACCTGATTCCACTAGCACCCTGAAGAGGTGTAGATGATCCCTGAAGTGATACCAACAAGGTCTCCTTTGACTGCTGTTCCACCCAAGGTCATTTATATTTCTTGTGGTATAGGTCTTAAAAAAAAGAAAAACGAAGGGGCTGGAGGTGTGACTCAATGACTGTGCTTGCCTGCTTGTTCAAGGCCCTGGGTTAGATCCCCAACACCGCAAAAATAGCATCATCAAAATGCCTTTATTTTTCAATTTTTTTTTCTCTAAGAAGACCATATTTTCTTCATGACACTGAGTTAGCATTTTTGTCCAATTGAGCCAGCCATAAAAGGAGAGAAATTCACTAGAAATTGCAAATGGACAGCCACTAACAATCTTTTTTTTTTTTGAATAATGGAGATCTTGCTTAAACTTACAAGGAAAGGGAAAGTAAAGCTTCGGAACAGACTCTGGTCCTAACTTGCCTCTTTGTCCTTTAAAAAAAAGAAAGAAATGAGTGACATATAAGAGGCTGTTGTGCCTCAGAGCTTTCAGAGTCACTATTTCTGCTCACAACTAGAGCAATGAAAACAAGTCTTTTTTCTCCACAACACAAGATGCTTCAGTCTAAGTCACTCCAGACTTCCTCACCAGTGACCTCTACACTGACCTTGATGTATTCTAGGAAGAACTCTTGCCTGTTTAGTCCTTTTAGCTCATTTTTATGAGTTCCTGTTCACTAGTATTGAACTAGTTTCACCCAATTCAGGGGAAAAATTTTTTTCACCATTAATTTAATTTTTAATCTGCTGACTTTTCATTATAGTACAGCTTTTCTCTTGCATTGGACTTAAAATTTTCAATTTAATTTTTAATCTGCTGACTTTTCATTATTATAGTACAGTTTTTCTCTTGCATTGGATTTTTTGGAGTTGTGTACACTTAGCTTGTGGAAACAGTTTGGCCCAAGTAGTGACAGAGCCAGAAAATTGTCTTGCCAAGGGCATACTTAGTCTCTGTCTGAGGTCAGGAGTCCGGTCCCCATCTGTTTGGTGTCGCCCTAAAAAAGTGGAGGATCCTAGCTACATGCTTTGATTCTGAATCCTCTTTGCCTGTCATTTTCTCAAGTTTTAGATGAAATAACCCAGTCCCTATCACTCCTCTTTCC